GGAGAGGAAGGAAGGAAAGAAGAAAAAGTGAGAAAGAAAGGCAAAAGGATTAAGGAAAAGAAATAAACAAAGGGAGATAGATATAATATGACACAATAAGAAGGAAAGAGTTCCAGAGCAGAAGGAGATCTTTAAAATCATTCACAACATTAGGGGTAATGAAAGAGACTAGTCTCATTTCATCACATAGCAGTTGACTCAAGTTAAATGACAGCTATGCTTTAATTAATAATTGATCACCTATTATTTTTAGAGCATAATGCTAAATCAGGGGATTTTAATTTACCTGAGAAGAGGACATTTAACTGCAAAACAACAATAAATACAAAAGTTCAGAAACAGAATAACTCTTCCTCATTGACTGCCCCAGGATAGGCAGCCATCATGAATGACATTGTACCTATCAGGACCAGGAAGTTCAGGACTAACTGACTACTTCTAAGGAAATAAATGATCATTGATGTGCTTCACCCTGTGAAAGCAACAGTACCTAAGACAGAAATTAGGGAAAACCTCCAAAAATGTAAAAGACCACACCAGATGTCACTTTTGTACTTGGACTTAGAATCCATTTCGGTGGTGGCCAAGACAACTGGCTTTGGCACGATTTATGATTCCTTGGGTTATATGAAGGAAAATGAGCCCAAACACAAATTTGCAGGACATGGCCTATATGAGAAGAAACAGACCTCAAGAAAGCAGCAAAAGGAATGCAGGAACATAATAAAGAAAGTCAGGGGACTGCAATGGCCAATGTTGGTACTGTCAAAAAGCCAAAGGAGTAAAGATTCTGCAATGCCTACTTGCAGTGATTGTGCAAGTTTTTCAGGAGAGGATTAATAAACTGTAAAAACTTAAAAAGCAAAACAAAACAGAATATGCCAGGTGTAGTGGTACATGCCTATAATTCCAGCACTCAGGAGACTGAGGCAGGAGGATCACCAGGAGTTTGAGACCAGTCTGGGCTATATAAAGGAATTCAAGGCCAGCCTGCACTACAAACTGAGACCCTGTCTGAAAAGAAAACAATACAAAAAACAAAACAGAATAATACATCAAGACAACTATGTTCTTGTTAGGACATGAAAATAACAATTACATTTTAATTTTTGAACAATAGAGTAAAACATGAATAAGGCGTTTAAAGAAAAGCTCAGTGAAAAAAATTTTAAGTAGACCCATCTAAAACTAAACTATTTTAAATTAAATAAGTCTAAAAACAATAACCTTTTCTCTTGGCTTTTTCTGAAAATCAGAACTGCTACTGGACATTTTACAAATGTTTTTATAAGGTAAGTAATTCAAAAGTTCCAGGTGGCTAGGCTGAACAAGATCTTCCAAAATAAGTTTTTCAAACCTCAAGGGATTTGAGGCAAAATCGGAATATTCACTTGGACTAGCACTAGAAAAAAAAAAGAAAAAAAAATTAGCTTTTAGTTTAAGTATTCACTACAAATTTCTATATAGTAAATAAGAAAATTGAAAAAAATAAGGCTGACAATTAGACCCATAGCTATGAACATGAAACAGTTTTATTTTGGGTTTTTTTTTTTTAATTTTGAGACAGGGTCTCACTATGTAGTTTAGGCTTGCACTGAACTTACAGTGTAGCCCAGGCTGGCCTTGAACTCATGGCAATATTCCTACCTCAGCTTCCCAAGTACTGGGATTATAGGTACGCACCACCATGCCTGGTAATAAACCACAGTTTTAAACTAGCAATCTATGTATTTCCTGACCCTTTATGCTAGGATTACTTAGAATTCTAAAAGTAGTCACAACAAAAAATGATTAATAAAGCCTCAAATATATATTTTACACTGATTCCTAATACATTAAGGCTATTTTCTTAATATGTAAATGGTTCTCTAATATTCTTGGGTTTTTTTTTTAAATAAGAGTTACATTAAAAAGTATAGAAAACTGACAGGCATGGTATCACATGCCTAGCTACTCCAACAGCTAATACAAGAGGATACTAAGTTCAAAAACAGCTTGTGTAACTTAGCAAGACCCTGTCTCAAAATACAAATAAGTAGGCCTGGGAATGTAGCTCAGTGGTTTTATGGTTTAAATATGAAGTGTTCCCAAAGACTTTTGTTTTAAAGCCTTGATCACAATACAGTAATACTCAGAGGTTGGGCCTAGAGAGGGGACTAGATCATGAGGACCAAATGAGCTATTAGGAGGTGGGGCCCAGTTGGAAGAAGTTATTCCTATTGTGCCTCTGAAGACAAAATAGCCCCTTAAACTAGATCTTGTTCTCTTGTTGTCTCAGGTTCAAGACTGCCATGAGGTAAGGAGCCTTTCTCTGCAATGCCCTCTTGCCATATTTCTGCCTTAGACCTAAAAGACCATGGACTGAAGCCTTTGAAACCATGAGGCAAAGTAAATTTTCCTCCTTTAAGTTGTCTAAGTTAAGTATTTGGTCACATCGAGACTGATAGCCCTGGGTTTAATTCCCAGTACCACAAAAATATAAAAACAAAAAATAAAATAAACTGTATTTTATTCCAGAAGCATATAAAAACATAATATATAATAATTAAATCTAAACATTTTACATTTATAAGTCATACTATGAATTCTATACGTAATTTTACATACTTACCTGGATAACTCTTGCCCTAAATTCTTCAAACTCCATTCTGTTTTCTTCAGTTCATGTCTTAATGATGCAACATTTGCAAGCAAACTTTCTTCTTCATTGTCTTTATTGTAACAGTCTGACGAACCTGATTCCATTTCTTTAAAAAATTAATTTCTTGTATCTTACCTGACAGATTCTGTAATATAGTCAAAACATTCTCACAGTAATAAAGTTTAACTCATTATTTTTCTATTTCAAATGTGACATCTTTTGTGATGGTTAAAACAAAAAAAGTCAATTCTAATAAGGTGCTTTCTGTTGTTTTTCCAGTACTGGGGATTGAACACAGGGTATACAGTGTGGTACATCCCTACACTTTTTTACTTTCTGACAGGGTCTCACTAAGTTGCTTAGGATAGCCTCAAACTTGTGACATGCCTCAGTTTTCTGGGTAGCTGGGAGTAGCTGCAATTATAGGCACGCACCACTCACAATGATTATAAAGTTCAAAACACACATACACTCATTCACAAGTCATAACCAGAGAGCAAAATTACATTTAGCAATTCAACTGTAGAACTACTATATAAAACTTTTGTTTCTTAAACTGATGAGCATCTCCAGGATTATGAAACTACTAAATTCCTTTGCATATAAAAAAATCTTGTTAGGGGACATTTTATTATTCTAATTATCAAAATAAAGACTTAAACCTTTAGAATCTCTGCTACTCTTACAAATCTTCCTGAATAATCTTACCACACTTCTCTTTTCAGATTTAAAAGTCTGACCACTGCCGAAGCTACAAAAAGGCCAGCAGCTCCGTTTGTGTCTTGTGTTCAGGACTGCAATTTACTTAGAAAAACTCAGTATTTTCAGTGAACAAAGGATAAGTAAGAATATTTCTTTTTCTCCCTTCACCTGATTAATGTAGTATGCTACATTTATTTCCCTCTCAACATTTCCCAAGTAGGATTTAAGGTTAAAAACAAAACCCTGGCCTTATTGGGAAAAGCTGTAACAGTAAATTAACTGAGATGTAATCTTAGTAGACTGCTTCTATCCTTTTCCTCCTGTTTACACAAATTTGCTTCAGTTTAAATGTTAAGACTCTCAGATAAAAGTCAGTGGATCAGATCCCTATCTTGTAGGAGCGAAAGCTAAAGAACACTGGTAGTACAGAATTTCAAATATCGTTCAGTACCCTGCGTTTCGTCTAAATAAGTTTTTTTGTTCAACATCTGTGTATTTTTATGTGAGAATATTGTAACTCTTCTCAAGTAGCAATGAATACATATTCAAGTAGCTTCAATTTTCTGAGTCATTTACTATCAAAGACTACTCCTCATTACAGTTTACAGTTGTTACAAACAAGCCTTAGGCAGGCGCGACCACAATCTCAGCACTCTGGGCGGCTGATGCAGGAAGACCGCAAATCCTAGGCCCGCCAGGGCAATTCAGTGCCTTGTGCGAAGGCCCTAGGTTCAATCCCCAGTACTTGAGCGGGGGTGGGGGAGGGGTATTTCATTGCTTGATGGGAAAAGACACGTCGTCTACTTGACGTCATCTTTTAGCCCCGTCAACAATGTACAGCCGCACACCCATCTCTCCAAGGTCAAGCACAGTATTCTTTATAACCACAGCATGTGCTAGAATGGGTTGTAGTCGAAAAAAGATTTCCCATAGGCACAGTCGATCTTACAACCATCTAAGAGAGTTGGAGCAAGAGCTGACAACCTCCTCTGGGGTTTTTCCTCAAATACAATACAAGCCTGGACGACAGTAAACTCAGCCTGAGCCAGGACCAAGCCAAGCAGCTAACGGTACCTCAGGGAAAGAAAGCAAACTCCCGAAGGTGTGCGGGTTTCCACCCGCCCAGGGGCATTCGCTCACCACCGCGCCGCAGCTGTGGAGAGGCCCACCAGATGACGGCGCACAGCGCGACTAGTGTGCGCCGGGAGCCTGTCCCAGGCCACGGCGTGGAAGCCTCAGACTCACTAGAATGGAGACCTAGCGAACGCGGGCGGCGAGGAGTTCGAACCGCGGCGCCAGCCGTTGGGACGCGCCTCCTCGGCCGCAGCCCCGCCCCTGCGCGGCTCCGCGTGACGCCGCGCGCAAAGCCTGCCGGGATCGTGGTCGCTGGGCGCCGTTGAGCCGGCTCGCCGACCTCGTCCAGGACTACATTTCCCATAACTATGCCCGTGACGCCCATTGGTGTAATGGAAGCCCAGGGAACCTGCGGCCGTGCGAGTGTGAGGAGGCGGACACTGAGAAGGGAGCGGAGAGGGATCGCTGGCCCCGCCTTCAGCCTCTACCCTGCGGAGGACATCTCTTACCCCTCAGAGGGAGCGTTTGCTTCCGCCGCGGGTGCTGCCGCCGCCGCCTGAAGATTTTTTCAGACTCAGGATTCCCCTGCCGCGAGGAGTGCAGGGAGGAAGAGCGGAGCGGCGGCGCCGGCGTCCCATCTCGCACGCGGCTTTCCGCCCGATTTCGCCCCGGCAGGGATGGGCGACACGATCTGGCTGCCCTTCCCCTTGCTCCTCCTGGTCGCTTTGCGGCTGCCCGGGACGGCCGGCTTCACGCCTTCCTTAGACAGCGACTTTACCTTTACCCTTCCGGCCGGCCAGAAGGAGTGTTTCTACCAGCCCATGCCGCTGAAGGCCTCGCTGGAGATCGAGTACCAAGTAAGTGGGGAGCGTAGCCGCCCGCTTCCTTTAGCCTAGCTGCACCTGGTCGCGCTCGCTGGGGAACTTCTCGAGGACCGGGAAGTGAAGGGGCCGGGGCAGCCGTCCCTTTCCGCGCAGGCGCGCGCGCGAGGCGAGATTTTCCCTGGGGGCCCGGGGACCTGGGACCCAGAAGTTTGCCCGGCCTTAGAATTGACGACTGCCCTCCCTTTTCTCCTTTCGGAAAGAGGCAAAGTCGGTGACTTTACTCTGTTTCTTAATTCATAATTGCTGTTCTACCCAGTCTATGCTCCAGTACTGAGAATTTCACAATACTGGGACTGAAAACACGTTCTTCTTTATCATTGGACGAAGTGATGACACTTTGTTGAGTCACCTCCATTACTTTCGCCCAATTCTGATATTAGAAACCTTCACCATCTTTACTTCAGTTAAGAGTTTCTGAATTGTGGCCATGTAATTATCACTCATTTCGATTTTCAAATATGTTGAAGGTGGCGTTGCCATATTTACTGGTACTTTTCCGTCCTAGTTATAGATCCATTCTTTTCAAATTAAATATAATCAAGTCGTATATTAAAACTTTGTAACTTTTCTTTCACCGGGCATTGTCAGCATTTCCCCGTGTCATTTTCTAGATATGTCCATAATATTCTATTGTAAAGAATTGCATGGGTTTATATAACAAATCGTTGGTGAATTCCTACTATCTTGTTTGGATCTAATTTTTTTATTATTTTTTATTCTTTTTAATGGTCTAATCAATCTAGCATTCTTACATCTGTTAGTCGGAGAAACTTCGTTGAAGATAACATTATGTAATATAGCAACCACTGTTAATTCCTATCATTTTGTTTTGAAACCCTGTATCATTTTTATAGTTTTTGTGTTGTTTTGTTTTTGTCTATGTTGTTATTTTGTTATTTTTTAATTCTCTTTAAAATAAAAAGAATTGCATGGGTTTATACAGTCATTCTGGTAAGGGACAATTTCTTAAAAGACATATGTTTTATGTATTTAGTAGTACTGAGAATTCAGCCCAGGGCCGTCTCACTGAGCTAAATCCCCAGCCCATTTTTAAATTTGATACAGGGTTGCCCAGCTTGGGCTTGAATTTATATCAGCCTCCCAGAGTGCTGGGATAACAGGCCTGTTCCCCACCCCCCAGGCCTCTTTAGTAGACATTAGCTCCATATTGCTAATTTCGACGTTTCCAGGTAGCACTGTTGGTGTGGTTCATCTTCTATTTTTTTCCCAATTATTTTATCATCAGATGTTCATGTTTTGAAGTTAACGGAAAGAATTTCTTGTTAAATGGGTATTACTATACAGAGAGCAAAATTAAAATTAAAAATTGTGTAGAATTTTTATCCAAAGGAACTGTAGACTTAGATTATAGATGCATAAGGTAAGCACAGAAAGTGAAGTATCCAAAAATGACAGTGAGCAAAACTGAGGCTAGAACTTAACCTATCTTTTTTTCTTTTACAACTTAACATTTCTTGATTTTTAGGAGTGTTCAGAAGCTCAGCATTTAAGACCTGGTGGTATGTGGCTGTGTGCTAGAGTCCTTGTTGACCAGGGTTCATCACCAGCAGGGGCTGGGATGGGGGAGGTGTTAAATTACTGAACATTTAATTTTGCCTGGGATTGTGCAAGGAGGAGACAGATACAAGAAGAAGAAATAGCCCTTGTTCTCAAAAATCTTAAGAGGTATTGATTCATACAGCTACTGTGATTTCAATAAAGTATGCTTAAGTTCTGTTAGAAGAAGGCACTTTCTGGGTTTCATAAGATTCCCTAAGAAAATAAAATTAAATCTGAAAAGATGCTTAAATGAGACAATAATGCAACAAATGAGGGGTATTTCAGGAAAAGGAACACAATGAATAGACAAATAATTCTGAAAATATGCAGTGTTTAAGTGTAAGCATATATAGAGTGTATACTAGAAGTACTAAGTGTTTTATTAGATTTTTTTGACACAGGGTCTTGCTTTCTAATTCAGGCTGGCCTTGAATTCATTATGTAGTCCAGGCTGTGCATGGACTCTCAGCAATCCTCCTGCCTCAGGTTCCCAAGTCTTGAGACACCCCGCATCGATTTTTCAGTCTTTAGGAGTAACAGAAAAGGAAACTGAAGAGCCCAAAGACTTGGTCATCTTAGGCATCCATTTAAGCAGATTGCTTGGCATAGGGTAAAGGTACTTTTGTTTATTCTTTTTGTTTGTTTGTTTGTTTTGTTTGTTGTTTGAGACAGGATCTCCCTGCATAGTCCAGACTAGCCTTGAACTCGGAATCCTCCTGCTTCAGCCTCTAGAATGCTAGGATTACATGTGTGTGCCAGAATGATGGGCATTGAAAGGTAGATTTAATGAAATCAAAATTAGAGTTAAGGAAACCACCTAAGTGTTTAGTGAAATCATCTAGAAAAGAAGATAATTTGTATTAATCAAAAATTTGTCAGTATTTACCAACATACTAGGGAAGGAATCCATTATCTATTGATCTCTTGGTTCAGAATTCTGACTTTTACTACTTAAAACTTGTTTGATCTTGAACGAGTTACTTCTTACTTGTAGAGATAATAGTAACTACCTAATGTAGTCTATTTGAAACAGCGAGTTAATAGATGCTCAAAGACCATTCGGTGGATATTATTTATACATTTATATCTCTGCAATTATATAGAATACTTTAGCCTTAGTATTTATTTTATTAGTACATATGTACAGTACATAATGATCCCATCCCATGGGCGGAATTCGTACATGTATATAACACATCTTAATTCTGTTTTTGTAATCCCCTTCCCCGCTTTTCCTTCCCTTTTCCATCTCTTTGACCCCTTACCCTTTATAAAAGATGTATCTCACTACTTGCTACTATCTATTAATCGTTTTACTCGTAATTTGTGTTTTGCATTTCTTATATAAAAGAAACCGTGCAGTATTATCCATTTTCCTACAAGTTTATCCTTCTTGATAGCAGAGTAGTATTCTATTGTGCATAAATACTACATTTTTAATCCCATTCATCTTTCAGTGGACATTAGGCCACCAGCAAGATTTAGCTATTGTGAATTGTGCTTCTGTAAACATGGGTATGTATCACTGTAATATGATGTCTTTAACTCTTTCTGGAAGACACCTAGAAGGGGCATAGCTAGATCAAATGGAATTTCTTGTTTTAGTTTTTTTAAGGAATCTCTATACTGATTTCCATGATGATTGTACCAGTTTACATTCCCACCAGTGATGTAGAAGGAACCCCCCCACCTCATCAGCATTTGTAGTTATCTGATGTCTTGATGATAGCCATTCTTCCTGGAGTAAAATGGCATCTCTGTGTTTAAATTTGCATTTCTCTAATAGCCAAAAATGTTGAACATGTACTGTATTTTTTGGCCATTTGTATTAGCCATTTGTATTTCTTCTTCTGAGAAGTATCTGTTCATTGCAGTTGCCCATTTTTCTTACTCATCTTTATATATTCTAAATATTAGTCTTCTGTCTAAATAGCTGGCAAAAATGTTCTCCCATCCTGTAGGTTGTCTTTCCTCTCTATTCATTATTTCCTTTGCTGTGCAGAAACTTTTTAATTTTGTATGACCCTAGAATACTTTACCTTTATAGTTTGCATTTTTAGTCACTCTTAAGTGATATCTGTTCCTCCAGTGCATTCTTCCTACACTTGTTTTGATTAGAGATAAATAAAGTCATGTCATTTAATATCTTCAGTCTTATTATTAGAGGGATTTGTAGGATAATGATCATCTTCAACCCTTTTATTTACATTTTCTAACCCCATGATTAATTTTTCTATGACTGCCTGTCTTAAAGTTAGTGTAGAAGTGGAGGAAAATGTTCCTGCTGTCCCCTGAACTTACACTGAAATGAACAGACAGTAGGCAGATCAATAGGAGAAAAGGTAAAACAAATTTATGTGCTCACGGTTTTACATAACACAAGAGCCTTCAGCTTAAAGTCCCAAAATTAAAGCACAGGGAAGAGTATCTGTATTTACCCACAGGGTAAATATCTGTATTTCTGTTTAGGTTTAATGAAGTGTGGGTGACCCTGTAGAAATATAATTGAACAAAATGGGTATGATCTCATAGAAATAGACTGAAAGGGGAAACCCAGCAAGGCCTCACTATTAGATTCTTCTTGGCCTCTATAAAGCATTTCTTCCTTTTGGGGATGGAGCAGAGTCCAAAACTGTTGTACAGATTCAGTGCAATCCCAATTAAAATACCATTAGTATACCTTACAGATCTACCGAAAACATTCCTAAAATTCATCTGGAACCATAAGAGACCTAGAATAGCAAAGCAATCCTGGGTAACAAAGATGAGGCAAGAGGTATCACAATCCCCAATCTGAAATTATACTACCAAGCTTCTGTGATAAAATCAGCATAGTACTGGCAAAAAAAACAGACCTGAAGATCAATGGAGCAGACTAGATGCAGACAAAACCACAAAGACACTCAGCCACCTTATTTTTAATTTTTTTTATTTTAAGAGTAAAAGAAGGATAACATAATAATAGGGGGGGCTTACCAAATTACAGACAAAGTGGTAGGAAATTGTCAATGGTTATTGTTTTACATATTGTTATCTACAAGATAGTTTCTCAGGAAAACAGACAAATGATAGTGAGTTACAGACAAAAGAGGTAGGAGATTATCAATAGTTGTTGTACGATACTTAGGTATCTTCAAA